ATAGTACATTTAAATAAATAGTTTAAAGCAGAGTTTGAAACCCAGTTTATGTATGTGGTTCGAAACAGTGTTTGAACGGGTTTCAAAGCACAAACTAGCAGATTTAAGCAGGATAACATCCCTAATTTTTATGCAATTAAATTGCAGATTGCTAGACAAAAAGTTTTGCAGTTTTAAGCTTTTATGCATGCATCATACGTACTAATGAAGTCCTAGACGTTCATTAAAACAATTCCCAGCTGATAATTCGTTATAGACTCTGCTAACTACTATTGCTAATGCTGGCCTAGCTTCAAGTATTCTGACCCGGAAATTTGCGATTCTAACAGCTAAATTCAGAAATTCTGAAACTAATGTATTATGGTCATATGACGAATAAAACTTGACATTGTCACGTGATAGATTTACATTTTATCGAAAAATTTTTTGATTTATCGAAAATCATTTTCTTGCAATGTATAACGAAGGTTTTGCCGAAGACGAAGTTGACCTCTCTGACGAGGTTGATTTACTAACTCCTAGTTATGGTGGTGTTGAGGATGATTTGGACGATGATGGTATACTCTTAAACGATTAATTACATAAAAAAAAAATTAAATTGCAACGTATTAATTTTTATTGATTTATGGCTTTTTAGATCAAATTCAATTAATGCTTCAACAGCAATATGCTCAAGAGATACCCGATGTTGTTAAAAATTTCATTATATATTTTCATCGTAACGTTCTTGAAAATAATGTCTACGAATTGCATGGGATATATGAAAATTCATTTAATCGATTAACGGAAAAGTTTTATATGAAAGCACCTTGGCCTGAGGCAGATTTTATTGCTCCATTGGTTAATGATGGTATAAATTCATTTATTATATTTTTTATTTGGTTATTAATATATTATTTAATTTAATCTTATTGTTTTTGTTAGATCAAGTATTTTTAACCTTATATCGTGAATTATATTATCGGCATATATACTCAAAACTTTCACCAACTATCGAACACCGCTTTCATTCATACGAAAATTATTGCGATCTATTCAATTATATTCTGAGTAATGTCAAACTCAATATTTCAGATTGATTGTGCATATAAGATTTAATAATTTATTATTTATAAACTTTGTACAGATTCTGATGGTCCGGTTGCTTTGGAACTTCCAAATCAATGGCTTTGGGACATTATTGATGAATTCATTTATCAATTTCAATCATTCTGCAATTACCGTAATCGACCTAAAAATAAAACTGAGGAAGAGATTGTTTTGCTACGAGATAATATTCAGGTATATTAAACCGTGTTGTGTTTAATATACTTAAATCTCACTTACACCTTGATTTAGGTGTGGAGTTGTTACAGTGTGTTGAATGTCTTATATTCTCTCATCACAAAATCTCGGATCACCGAACAATTGCTTGTAAGCAAACACGGAGGTGATATGATGTGGGTGAAATGAATAATCTTGAAAATAGATTTATCATATTATTTTGTCTTTATAATATATATAAATATATGTATTTTTTTAATTAGTGAAGCTGCGGGTGAATACGGATCACGCCCTTTATATAAGATGCTGGGTTATTTTAGTATCATCGGCCTCCTGCGTGTTCACTGCTTATTAGGTGATTATACTTTAGCGCTTAAAATGATGGATAATATTGAATTAAATAAAAAAGTAAGTACATTTGCTGAATAATTTATTGAAATCTTATAAAATATTCTTCAGCTTTTTTATTTTTATAGGCACTTTTCGCTCGTGTGACTGCCTGTCATGTTACTACATATTATTATGTTGGTTTTGCGTATATGATGATGCGGCGATATGCTGATGCTATAAAGGCATTTTCGCATATCCTTGTATTTATTGCGAGAACAAAAATGTATCATACGCGGTCTTACCAATTTGATCAGGTAAATTTATTCTTGTTCTTTATATATATTATTCAATCGTGCCAGTTTGTCTTATACTTCATACTTCTCTTTCTCATTATTATTATTATTGCTAGATTAATAAAAAGGGTGACCAGATGTATGCGTTATTAGCCATTTGCATTGCTCTTTGCCCGACTCGATTAGATGAAAATATACATGCTCACTTGAGAGAAAAATATGGTGAACATTTGAGCAAGATGCAACGCGGGTGAGTATTGAAAGAGTACTTTTAAATTTTTAAATGATTTGCACGTTTTTTTTTTTTCCTATCTTTAAAATCAACTATCTATAGTGAAGAAGGGCTTCAAACATTTGAAGATTTGTTTTTGTATGCATGCCCAAAATTTATTTCACCTATTGGGCCGAATTTTGAAGAGTTTCATTCCTTGACTCCAGCAATTGTATGATATAAAATTTTATTATTGATTTATTTACGATAGCTGATTATAAATTATTCGTTATGACACAATACCATTCACAAATTCATAGGAACCTCATCATCATCATGCAAAAATTTTTCTTGCTGAAGTCCGTCACCAAATCCTAATTCCAACACTAAGGTCGTATCTTAAGCTATATACGACCATGGGAATTGACAAGTTGGCAGCTTTCCTTGATATAGAACCTGATAAGTTAAGGTAATCGATGGAATAGATATAATAACATAAGAATAAGTAACCATAATAATAAGAATTTTGTCTATTAGGACTCAGTTACTTATTGTCAAGCAAAAATCACGTCAGCAGAAATGGAGTAGTGGTACATTACTTGAGGGAGAATATGTTGCAACATCTGATCTTGACTTCTGTTTGAAGCAGGTGATTTATTTTTTGAATGAATGTTTATGGTATATGTAAATGGTATATGAACTCAATCTCTACTTCATTATTTATAATTTCAGGATATGATTCATATTGCCGAATCTAAAGTTGGACGTCGTTACGGCGATTGGTTTTTACGTAATATAAATAAATTCCAAGTAAGTAGACACATTATAATTAATTATATATTTTGCGATTTGAA